CACCACTGTGGTATTCAAGGTAGTTGTACCGGCATCCCTGAGCTACCTCTGCCGAAATACAATGCATCTTCGCAGCTACATCTGGAGCGGATTTGCCATTCAGAAGACATGGATCCGCTGTTTTCTCCTTCAGCTGTTCCTCCTGAACCATGAGCAGCTTGTTCAAGACCGCAGATTCAAAACCGCCGTTGTAAGGAAAATTCTTTCCGCAATTTTTGTACACCCTGTGCTTTCGTTCAGTTGCCCAGCAATCCAACGTTTGGGATTGTAAGTCCAGACCTTCAGCACAGTGAAAATTGAAATGGTGTTTGGGCTTCACTGCTTGCTTCCCATACACTGCGACATATACACCCAAATGTTCGGCGACAAGGTTATTGATGAGCTCACTCGAAGACAGACGTGGCTTACATTTTCCAGCCTTCAACCTGAAGTACCACCGGCACAAACACGACAAACAAGTCAGTGATCTAATCTGGCCAGTCAACGCAGTATGGCTGGACAACACGTGTCGCGCAAACACCTCCAGTATGAACAACGCCAAAACACAATGGCTGGCATCACCACCGTATGTCGGCTTCTCTATGTACTTGGAGTCGAAAACACGCTTCAGCCGACAATCATGTACACTGCGGTTCATGTTGAACCCAGACTCTTCGCAAAACCTTTGCAAATCATGTAGCGTCAGGCCAGTGCTTTGCTTCACAGCATCCCAAAACAAACACACTTCAATGCACGCAATACCATTGCTGAAAAGGCAATGCAGGAAGTCATAGTAGCATCGACTCGGGGGGAGAAGACACCGAGCGATCGGATCTGCGAGGAGCCCACTGCTGCAAAATGAAAACCCATACACTTGCTCCCGTTTGACGATTTCATTTTGTGGCAACTCGTCATGTGCGCGCCTCAAGCGTTCAATGACATCAAACACTTCTTGGTCAGTGTACTTCAAGAATGATCTATAATTTGCTTCTGTGATGTCTTTGACGGTCTCACCATCTTGCAAGTCAAACGAAGCACCATGCCACTTGCTCACTATATTGTAGCATTTGCTACAGGGTTTCATCCCTGCAGCGCCTTTGCTGCCCAGAACACTCCGCAAAGCAGCCTCATCTGTGATGAGCGCATGAAGTTTGCAACGAAACAGCCAGTGTTCACCTTCCAGCTCCACACTAAAGCCGCTTCTGTGTAGGATGCCGTGATCCGAATGATGCCAATGCAGCAAGATGTTTTTGAACACTTCGCTCAGGCCACCACACACAGAGGCAGCCTTGCCATTGGTGATGACTCCGCCCACCAACCAAAACTCTTGAAGCCCGATCCTGGGCCCCATTTCCAAGAAAGTAAGGTAGATGAGGTGGCTCTTCTTTGGGTTGCAAGGGTTCAGCGGGTTTCCACTCACAGTCTCATCCACATAGGCAACCATACTCAATGGTTCAGAGACACAACTCAATGCTTCGCGTACCGCTTTGGCGAACTCACGCGATTGTTGGCAATACCGCTGCAACAGCAACTGCAAGTTGGTGACATATACAGTCTGGCCATCCACATTCAGCTCTTCAATGTACGTCTGCTTGTATTCTGAGGCCGCTTTCGCCACTCCGTTGGTAATGGACTTCGCCTCACGCTTCTTGTCTTGCTCTGAGGGCGCTTCATCATGAGCCAGGGTAACAGCAACTTCAGCAGCCTGCCTCACAGAGCAGTTTGGAAGGCCAGCAAGCTTTTGCGCTTGACGAGAGTTGAGACAAAGGTCTGCGTGCGCTTTTCTTTTGTTGGCCATTGCAAAGTCAGCATCAGGTGTATGCGCACACGTGTGTACATAAAAACATAAGAACTATCCAAAATTGATTTGCCAAAGGCTGACAAGAGTGTGTGTTTGTGCGTCTGTGTGCACCTATAAAAAATGTTCCTTGACTGCCTTACTAACTGTTTATAGATGATGCTGGTAGAGATTGCGGCCACATGAAATTGAAAGACCTGAAACATACACAGTAACAAACTCAAGCACAAAACACACAAGCAAACACAAACAGAGCGTCCAAGTGGCCGCTATCCACAAAACACACAAGCAAACACAAACAGAGCGTCCAAGTGGCCGCTGTTAGCTCAATTTTCATCTTTTTTCCAACACCACTTCTGATCACCACTCACCACGCGCCCTGTAGCAAGATGGGCAACATCCTGGTTTGTACCGGCATTTGCCGCACCCGTCTGGGTAAAGCTTCAAGGCGTCCGGTGGGCGACCATCATCGAAACTTTTCTTTCGTTTTCCACAGCCACTCGAGCTTGGCTTCTTCATTGGTTTTGCTTTTGTAGCGGCTTTCTTCTTTGGCTCTGGCGCCTTCTTCTTGACATTCTTGGATGGAGCTGTCTGCTGTGACTGTGGAGGGTCTTTGCATACAGGCCTTTTCATGGCAGCAGCAGGCCGTTGCTTCACTGCAGCCTTGTCATCAAGCTTTTGCCGAAGCTCTTCGGTGACTCGTTCAAACTGGCTCTTCTCATTCTGGTCGTTTGGCTTTTCTTCAACATGGTCTTGGGGATCCGCAGGAGCAGTCTTCTCAAGACTTGGTCCCACATCCTCTCTGAGATCTTTCTTGCTCAAGTCTGGCTCCACATTTGATGCCACAGCTGTTGTGACATCTTTCTCAGGCACGGGTGCTTCCCGATTCATTGATGGAGCTGTGGCTGAGCTTGCTGCGGCAGAGCTTGGCAGGGCCAGCTGCAAGTTGGGGCCGGATTCCACCGGCAAGAGGTCTCCACTTGCGGCCAAAGCATGTGAAGCCGAGCCCTGTGTCAACGACAAACCCCTCTGGCGGGGCGGAAACAGTTGCAGATTCCTCAGGCCACTGCCACTATCGTTGAAGCGGCTTCGTGTCAGAGCTGTCAGATTCATGACATCCGCGGCTGGATTACCAAAGCTTCTCAGAGTCAGATCCTTGGGCATTCTCTCGGACCAAGCTTTGGATGAAGGCCAACTTTGACACATCCAACTGGCACTGGCAAGGTCCTTCGCTCGCGAAAGCTTCTCTGCTGTAGCATTCAGGGAGCTGCCTGGGGTCTTCAGGAAGAGACAGCACATATGGACGCCCATCGTCCTTCTGAAACAGCAACAGCTCCTTCTTCATGGTTTGCTTCACATGACAAAAGCAATGATGAAGCCCAACCCTATCCATCTCTTCATGGAACCTATAGAGCATCAGCGCCGTGGCTTTGGAAACTGTTTTTTCGCTTGGCAGCTTCAGACCAAGTCTTCCAAGGTGGCGAGTCAATAGCGCTAAGCCTTCCAAAGGCTTATCGCCCACGATCTGCAGCCACAAGGACATCGGCAGGTAGTTCAGAAAGGCCTGGTAATCCTGCAGCGGTCTTCTGGAGACAGTGTTCGGAGCCATCTCGGAAGCCACACTGGTTTTGGAATTCACTTCCTGCTGTAGGTCATGAAGCTGCTCAGGTGTCCAATCCATGTGTCTCAATGCTTCTGCAATCGATGATGCCTGCTCCATGTTCACTCGCGGCCACGACTGCATCTTAAGGCGACAGTTGTGGAACTGGTCCTCCCTCATCTTTTCATATCCACTGTTCTCTTTCATGGCAACCAGGTAGCGAGCCACCGCAGCCAAAAACTGCTGACATTCCGCCATGAAACGCAACTATAACAAACAATTGGCGTTTCTGGCAACCAAAAACTACAGCGGAAAACAGCAACCGATCCAACACGAACGCGCAAAAAGACACAACAGAGCGTCCCCAGGGCCGCTTGACAAAGCACACTCATCACACAAATGCATGCGTCCAGATATATATCTATTTGAATATAGTCTTGTTGAAAAACCAAAAGAACATAAGCCAAACTTTTCATATTGAAGGTTTAAAAAGTAAAAACTATATACACAAATAGCTATAGAAGTAGGTAGGCAGTGATGGAAAACAAGCAGAAATAGCTATAAAAATAAGTAGAAATTAGCTAAAAATTAGCTAGAAATAGCTAGAAATTACCTAGAATTAGCTAGAAATAGCTAAAAAATAGCTAAAAATAAGTAGAAAATAAGTAGAATAAGTAGCCTCCAACATAAGTACTATAAGTTCACAAGTTACTACTATGTTCCATAAGTAGGACTCTGGTACTTATTGAACTTATAAGTTACCATATGAACTTATAGAACTTATAACATAACTTATAGAACTTATAGTGCAACTTCAAGTTACTTGTCACAGCTCAGCTAGCCACAAGTACCACAAGTCACGAAGTATTGATCCGAAACGCCTCCCATGAGTTCAATCAACGTTCATCAATCCCAGACGCTCCATGGGACTGCCATATTTACCGATCAGTTGGGGTGGTTTAGGGGGTCAATATGGCAGTCCTTGGAGTGTATTATAGATGTGTTCCACCCAGTGACCTAGATCACCTTCTTTCTGCTTGATTGGACTCCGGATTTCTGAGTTCCGCGTGGCCGACATCGTCCTCCAGCCGGACCGGCTTGAAAGGCATTTGCGTGAATCGGCGCTGCCTGGGCTCCTTGCTCACGCTGATCTTGTGCGGTGGCCCAGCGGGCCACTTCATTCTACCTGCCGCAGGGGCAGTGCGGACCAGGTGTGGACCGTGCTGTTCCCACAACGGGATGGAAGGACACGAACGATGTGCGGACCTGGTGCATTCCGGGCTGTTTCCGACCTGGTTCAGGAAAAAAACACCGATTGGGGTTTCTATAGAGTGGAACACTCAAGTGGCTGTAGGCTATAGAAACCTCAAGTGGCTCCGTCCACGGCGGTCTCGCCCCACTGGGGCGAGCTGGTATACCTGCATGAGCAGGCTTCTGCCGCGGCAGGAAGATTGAAGGAAACACTCAGAGTCAGAGTATATATGACATATTATGAGTCTATTCACTTTCAAGCAACAAGGAGAGACATTTTTCTTTGTGCGAGTGTGTGTAGGCGAACTGGTATTTTTCCAGGCCAAAGAAAAGAAGCCTTGCAACACACCAGCCACAGACCTGTTCAAATCGATGTCATGCTCTGACCAAATCACCGCGAGCGACATCAGCAGTTCTTCACTTCCGTTTGATGCGCCACCCGGTTGCGTTGTATCGTTGCGTCATCCGCCCCAGGGGGGACCGGCCCGCCGAGTCGGAGGAGGATCGTGGGCGGCGGAGCGCTTCGCTTCCACTGCCCCCGACCTCTTGGAGTTTTTCAGGAGTCGCTTGGAGCTAGGCGCTGAAGACGTCTTGGAGACGTCTTTGGTGACCTCCTCCTCCTCCTCCTCCTCGACGTGCGCACGTCCTCCGCACGTCCTGCGGGCGAGGTCCTCCGCACGTGGTTCGGAACCCGGCTTCGTGCCCCCAACCGGTCGGCCCGGCGTCGGCGCACAAAGGACCTCGTCGACTTGTACTTGGGGGGCTGCCGTGTTGGCCCTTTTCCCAGGCGCGAGGAGCGACACTTCGGAGACCTCAGTTCGTTTTGCTTGGCACCATACGATATTCAATATTCCTTTACTTCACGTGTTTTTTGCAGACATTGTTCCTTTGCCAAATAAAAATAACTTTGGCTTCACTTTGTGTTCCAGTTGAAATGAACTCCATCTCAGCAGGCACTTCTGAATCCAGCACACTGTACCGTGTCCTGTTAATGGAGCTAGAGATTCCATCTTAGACCTTCTATCTTACTGTGCCTTACTGGATGCTGGGGATAAGTCGTTGCATTTGGGTTGAGTCGCAGCCGTGCAGCAGTGACTTAAACCATTCGCAGCGTCTCCACAAACAGGGCCCCCGGCCATGACTTCCAACGAGATGCTGTGACTCAACCCTCCCGCATATAGGGATGTCATGGGATGTCTTAGGGGCATGCGGCTTGTGCAGGTGGCGGCTTTCAGAGGGTCATGAACAACCAACTGTTGGACGAGGGAGCGCCACAAGCATTGCGCTTTATGGGCGTGTGGAACTGCCTCATGTGCCTGGACATGCTTGATGTGGGAGTTGCCCTTAGGAGTGGTACCTTAGACGGATTCCTTTGTAAAGAACAGACGGCAAGAAAGGGCCAGGAGTCACGTGAGCTCCGGGGTGTTTTTGTAGTCCCATCCAAGTGGATGTGACCGAACCACCCCCACTTCCTCCAGGTTTGGCACCCAACGCCATGTGGAGAATCATTATCCAGCCTTGGGGGTTTACTATAACCCAGACACGACCTGTTTGGGACTGCCATATGTATGCCGATCAGTTGGGGTGGTGCCAGAGGGGTCAATGTAGGCATATACGGCAGTCCCATGGAGTGTCGGGGTAGTACTGTAGTCAGTTCTTGCTCGACATTGGCAAGACTGAAGTATCCTTTATAACATATAGAATGAAGAGGTTCTTGCTCAAGGATACTACTATAACACTGTAGTCAAGTTCGGCGAGACTCCACCTTCTACTGTTCTATCCTTTAACATGTTAAAGTACCACTAACTAACTACTGCCCGTAGTCTAATCACTGCGGGCAACCAGAACGACTAGATCGTGCAACCAGAGACGTTCAAAAATCAGTCAACACCAGTTCACCCCGGGTTCAGCCGGGAGAGAGGGCTCCATCATTAGGACGGGGTGCGACGCACGGGATGGTGCGACGTACTGGATGATCTAGCCAGAACTGAGAATTTGGGGGTGCAGAGACGAGGACCCAGAAGCATGTTTCAATTTGCATGCACAAGGGCGGGATCTTGGTAGCCTGCTTGTATTGTTGGGTCCCAAGTGTCTAAAAGGCACCTAGCGAATCCCTAAGAACACGTTTTCGCCCACAACCAACCAACTCTGGATGTTCCTTTGCCACAAAGTTGGTCAGTCCGAGTCCCAGTCCTAATCCCAATGTTTGACGCGAAGTGTGAGTGTCTACTTGGGGACCACAGTTGCCTGGGCAAGACTAGCTGGAGGCCCTTGCTCATTTAGATTGCAAAACCTTTTCATCCTTGCAGGTTCTTGATGGTTCTTGTGCTGTTGAGTGGCAGTGACGCTTCAAGATGCTTCAACCGTTTGGATAAACCATGCAGAGGCGCTAAGTGTTTGTTTTTTTAAACAACGTGATCCCATGTTTAGCAGTTCTGGTCATGTGGCAGCATACGTTTGACGTCTAAGGATGAAGTGTTTGACGAGAAATGTATACAGGAATGTTAGATTGTTTTGGGGATTACCGGGATTACCAGGTCCTGCTTGCTTGAGCGATTTTGTTCAGTGACTCGCCTCACTCGACCACGACCGCATCATGCCGTAAACGTGCAGCATCCAGCAGCCACGACCGGCGTTCGTGCGGTTAATCGGGGCTTGGACACAGGTCGCTGACTGGTGCGACTCCTATAGTATAGGGATCTGTAGGGAAGCATTTGCCGATAGAGATGCCGTAGGGAAGGATCTGCCACCCTCATTCCAAAAGAATCGGAAGAAGAGACCCTATGGGTCACCAGGAGACTGACCAGGCACGACCGAGTACGAACTGGGAGGTGCCCCCGTAAAGATGGGGAAGATTGTTGTACAGAACTTTCCGTTCCGCACGGTCGCACATCCTCCAAGCCGCTCCAAGCCACGCTCTTGTCAGCGTCAGCGTAAAAGCGCGACGGCGCTCGACCGAGGCTCTCCTCGGTCTCTTTGCAGACGGCGTTGCTGGTCTCTGCTTGGACCTTTTATCGCACCTACCGCGCGCTTGGGCTCTATCCCCCCGTGTCTCGGCAGCTGGCCCAAGGGGCAATAGACATATTAGCTGTAGGATAAGACCAGGAGACCTCGGTGGGCTAGCCAAAATGAACAGCTCCAGGTATTGACTCACAGCGTCGACTTAAGGGAACACTGTGTCGTCATCCAAGGTGAGTCATCACCGGTCTGGGTGGTGTTTTTTTTCGTCCTTCCGAACAGATCTCAGTTGCCCATAGTTGCCCTAGTTTCGCACCTTCCACCTTGCCCTCGCCACAGCTTCGATCCTTCAAGCTTTTGCTTTGCCAACTTGCGTGCGAATCCCACTCCACACTGAGGAGCCGAGGAAAGGTCATGTGCATCCTGACGTTTCACCCTTCGAATTCGTTTGCGCCGCTTGGTGTCGCATCGCGCATGGTGGAGCTGGGTCAGTTAGGACGATGGCCCTGGCTGAGTAGACTGGTCTTCCAGTTCCGATCCCCAAGACCTCCCCGTATCGAGCTACAGACCCAGGTCAGGAACCCTAGAAGTCAATGATCTCATTTTACTGACGTTGGTCATACAAAAACACTACTCGAGGAGGTCAAGGACCAGGTTTTACTGGGTCAGACTGGAGTTGTAGGGGAACGGGTTCCACCCGGGGGAACGGGGCTTTCTGGAGTTGAGTGGATGACACCGCCGTCCAGTTCGCCGTCCAGTGTCCGTCGTTGGAAATCGCGGGCCGTAGTCAAGGGCCCCGAGCGCTTGGAGGGCTTCCCTCATAAGCCTCAACCGTTGGTCTACATATGTCTACATTCTATAAACAGTTTTTGTTGTTTCCTTTGTTTCACTCATCATTTGGCTCTTAACTGCCAGATATGGGGGTTTTACTGGTTTTGGAGTTTGCACCTCAACTTGAATCTGGATGGATCATGATGGATCCAGGTTTGCACACCCACCACCTGGACACCCAGGAAGCGGAAGACGTGGCATTGCTGAGCGACCAGTGTCACGGGAATTGGTCCTGCGAGCGAGGTCCAGGAGGTTTGGCGCCGGGTGTGGAGTGGTGGGAAGGCGGTGAAGTGGTGGCCGGTCGGTGGCGGCGGAATCAGACTGAAGTGTTAGATTCTCTTGAGGGCTGATTCCTTGATTCAGAATCAAGTGAATGAAGTGGGAATCTGAATCAAGTGATTCAATTCTGAATCAAGTGGGAGTCTGAATCGCTTCAACTTCCTCGAGCTGTCTCCTTCACCGGATGCCCAGGACAGCGACTCTACAAGATCAACAGGTCGACCTCCGGACCCGAAACCCAAGCCTCCACTTTGGAGACCTGTAGAGTCGGGTGCTGGTACCCTTCCCAAACACTCTATGCATATGGCATCTTGACCTACAGTACATCTTTCCCCCGACTTCAACCACCCCAATGTATGGATTCCTTTGCCAGTCCCAGACAGGTCGTGTTTGGGCTTGATAGCGCCTCGCAGGTCTTGCGGCGCAAGAGGCCACCGTGACACCTGGGCCGCCGCCCCGGCGCGTGCTGCATGAGGATGTGCCTTGGGGCCAACAGCGCAGCGTGGAGGAGTAGAGCTCAACAGGGGCAGACCAGGAGACAGGAGACCAAGAGAAGCCATCCCCACTCCAGAAAGAGAGAGAGAGAGAGAGATCTGGAGAGAGCGTTACAGTGGGCGTTGGGTGCAAAATGGCAGTTTGTTGGCCGTTGTGCGTGGCGGCGTTCTTGAGTGGGATTCCTCATTCGACGTGGCAGACGTGACGGGCGTGACGTTTCGACGGGGTGCAGGTTGAGAAAAGAAGACTCAACCTAGCCCAAACACTCTATGTATGCCATATACACCTAGATTAGGGTGGTGCCAGGGGGGTCAATGTAGGCATATACTCCATACATGTAGTGTTTGGGTAGTAAATATTCAGCATTGTTATCAACACATGTCATACCAGCTTCTTCAAAGTGACCTCTTTGGAGTGCCTAAGTGACCTTTTGCAGGCCCAAGTGACCTCAATCTGGGATATCAAGTTCGGTCACTTTGAAGGTCCTTTTCTGCATATGTTTTCAATGTCTTCCAGTCGGTTTTGGCATGGCGCATTCCAGGTGCGAACCTTCGATATGCGTTTTTGTACTGTTTTGTTCCTGTGCGGTTTTGTTTTTTGGTTTACCACTTGTTACTTGTGGCCAAGTGGATTTGGATGTTCTAAACATTGTTTTTTTCCTGGAACCTGCATGTTCATCAGCCATCATCATTAACTGTGGTAAGAGACCAGCCCGCAGCTCAATCTCGAGTATGCCACGTGTCCATGCCATTTGCCACGTCAGTTGAACTCAAATCTGATTATTTCCACCATTGAGTGCTCTCATCCTTTTTCTTAGACCTGTGGGATGTTGTATATAAATATAGGCAATCTTGTGGCAGTATTCGGCTTCAAACAGATGATTTGAGAGAGCTGTGCTTGGTTTAAAAAGGTTCAGGAAGCTAGTGGTCACCACCCAAATGTGTACGAAAACACTGTCCAATGCATTCTTAGATGTTCCTAGTGCTGATCTACTTCTATCTATTTGGTGTCCGCAAAGAGCCAGCATGTTTCCTTTGCCCAACCCGCCAACCCGCCAACCCGGCAACGGGGCTGCACACGAAACGGCCCGAGGATGTCCACTACTCCCTGGAGGAAGTGAGACCCTCCAAATGACCGGGTGGAGGCCCTTCTTTTCTCGGCGTCCAAAAGGCTCCGACACGGGGCGGGAAGAAGGAAGAGGACCGAGCTGGTCCCCCACAAGATGGAACTTGGCGTGAGGTCCGTGAATGGGGTGGTTTCAACTGATCTTCCCAGGAGAAAAGGCACAGAACCCGTGCCTAACAAGGTCCAGTTGCATCTCTAATGTCGACGTAGGATTAATCAACGGCCCCCCCCCTTCAAGGTCAACAAGGTCAACAAGGTTTGAGATTCGAGGTTTTGGAGATCACATCCCCCTAAAAAGCTAATGACCTGATGATTAAAGGAATTTGATTTGGAAGAATTGGGCTGAAAGGGTTGGACGAGTTGGAAACCACATGAGAACTTTTGGATGAGTGATCCATGGGTTGTTTTTCCAAGGGAGCTTATGGGATAGGATGTGAACTGATGAGGAAGATGGAATGGGTGGGGAGAATCAGGAAGATGAGGAGATGAAGATATTGAATACTAGCAACAAATACAACAAACAAAATACAAATACAACGTATATTTTTTTTTCTGGGGCAGCTGGGATTGATTAATAGGGGGAGGTCGTCCTACAATTGGGGGGGTAGGGCCTTTGTGAGGGGTACCCTTTGTGAGCTTGAACATGTTAAGATTTTGATAGAGTTTTCATCAGGCAAAATGAAAGACTTTTGCTAGAGCGTTTTTTGGGTTTTGGGGGATGGTTGGTAGCATGAGACCTGAGGGGAAGCCATCAAAAGGATTGGTGAGCAGGATGAGGCAGTTGAGAGGTGGTGGTGAGAATCAGGAAGATGAGGAGATGAAGATATTTAATACTAGCAAAACAAAAAAATACATATAAAAGATATTGGAGACTAGCTAAAATAATGTAATATAAAGAACTATAAATAAATAGTAAACAATATGTTTTTCTTTTGGGGGGGCAGCTGGGGTTGATTAATAAGGGGAGGTTTCTGCACAGGAAAAAGTATATTGTGAGCAAGAGAACCCCCCAAAAGTGTAGATGTTTCTTGCAGATGTTCTCGTCCACCCATCCATTGAGACTTGTAACATATTATACATGCCTAGACCATCCAATGGGTTGTCCAATAGACTACCCTGCCCTACTTATGGCCCTCCACTGGGCACCCATTGGAAGTGCTAGGTATATATATATATATATACCCTAGGGCTCCAAGTACCTCCTCAGAAGGTATTTGGACCCTCTTAACCCACCCCAAACACCTTCTTAGAAAGTACTTACTTGGAGCCCTAGCGATACATATACATCAACGTTGTCCATACGTGCGACCGAAACCTTCCCGGCCGGTCTCGGTCTTCGCGCCGCGGACCCTCCCGCTCGGCGAACTCGCGGTGGAGGATGCCGCGTCGGGCGGTCGGCCCAAAAGCGTGGACCCCGAAAACCACTGGATGGCCAAACGGCTAGGGGGATCATGTCCATATTGCCAAACAATGTGTTTTATGTCTGTGAGACCCGTCGAGCTCTAACACACCAAGAGAGGTAGCCAGTGACCGTAAATAGAACCATTCTGGGGTACCAGATTGGGATAGTCTATGAGGTCCTTCAACCTCTGTTGGCATGTCCTGCCATTTGTAAGTGGCTCTGACCCAGATGCATTGGGGCCCGAGAGCTGGATCTCTGCAGGTCTGAGACGTCTTGTTCTGAAGATGCGTTGTGCCATTTCAATCATATCTTAGGAATGTTTGTCCGTTCTTCAAATCTATTAAACCTGTAGTAGTGCCGTCGGTCAACTTGTTTGCCATGTTTTTTCTCAAGGCCGGCAACCTACTCATCATCCACTGGGCCCTGGATAGATCGGATAGACCCAAGCAAAGACGATTTTACGTATATATATATATATTTTTAACTCTTCAAACTAAATCCAGCCCATTTCAGATGTAGTCACCAGATTCTTGAGCGGCACTGTTTTTTTTTTTTTTTATCTGTCGGGTTGACCCGGGCCGTGACCCACCGTTCTCCGTCCAGACACGAGGAGCCCAGCAGTCCGGCAGTCTGCAGACGGGCGAACATCGAACACTCGAAAGACGGTCCTTTGGGAAGGTTCCAATGCCTTGAAAATGGCTGATGTGCAACTGAGAATTAAGGACCAACACCCCATGCAGTTGAGTATCTTCATGCTTGGTAGGACGGACATTGACTAGCTGACGCGTTCGGAATGATGGACCAAATTGCTGCTTGGTCTCCAATCTGCGACTTTGGCTCCATCGCGGATGGCGGATGGCGTAGCTGGGAAAGAGCAGTGTGAGACCTGCTCCGCCCAACGCCCAGAGTGGCAGCAGGGATGGGAGTGGAGGGGGGTATAATGCGGTATATCCGTCCAAATAGATAGAAAAGTAAAATCCCTTTCAACATTGGGAAACCGGTTCTATCTATATATTTGGGTGTATAATAGCTACGTCAGAATTTTTTTGCATTGGCTCTCAGGTTGAGTCTGAGATGCTAAAGTATTTGTCTACCAGATGGTCTTCTCAGCCTTGCCCTCGCAGTGGGCGACCCTTTCGTGGATCCGAAGCTGCCCCAGGCTACAACATGTTCAATATTGCTCTTTCGTGGGCGATTGCTGGATTGCCGTATGCCAGTTGAATTGGCCCCGCAACAACTTTTGACCATTGACAGAATCTGATAAAGAACACTTGGAAGTTGGACACCCTTCAAATCATTGTTTGCACAAATGAACCCACATTTGTGCACCATCAGTAGCAGATAATTGGGCCTCCTCAAAGCCCAAAGCTGTGGCCCAAGGAGACCTGTTCAGCGCACCATGCGCGCCATGCGCACCATGCGCGATCGCGTGCGCACCAGGTGCGCCTTCTCAGGTGGATTTAGCATTGCATTTAGCTCCAAGAACGTGCACGACGTGGCAGGTTCAATCCAAATCCGGCCCCACGGTCGACCACCACGGCCCCAATCGGTCGGCCGACCGCGTGGACCGCGTGCCTTTGGTTCTCAGGGCATGGCCCAGTCCGGGGAGGCGGTGGTACTGGTCCGGGGGTTCATAGCGAAGCGAAGGTTCGGAGGGCGGGGCTCTCCGGTTGAAGAAGGAGAGCCTATCCCAAGATGATGATGCTTAGCATTGCTTAGCTTCTCCCATATATCCTATCCGATTTGGATGAATATGCTGAGCTTCTCCCATTGGGATTGAAAGACCAATAAGGCCTGGGGAGGCTTTTGTGGGGGGCGCGTATGAATGAAGATCCTACATTCCCAGCACCTTCAGGTCCCCGAAAAGGAGGCTTTTGACAAAAGTGGTGGTGACTGTCCTGGTAGATGGGGACAAGATGGATCAGAGTTTGAGGGTGTGTTTCCGTTGTTCCTCCATAATATGTTCATTCATTTCCCATCCAAGCTTTGTTCAAGAAGTACGGGGGTGTGTCGAAGCAGGTACAAACACCAGCCCTCCATGAGCATGTAATCAGATGAAGATCAATCCCAGGAATTTCAGGACGCTTAGCAGGAAACCCCTCCATTTTCGGGGGGTCGTGACGTGAACGGTTTTCCTGTAGATTTTCCCTTAAACCAATCCAATGAATCAACCTTCTCCAGGGCTCCTGCACTGACCACTTCGGCCAGGAAAGCCTGAAGCTCGTCTTGGAGCCCAGCGCAGGGCATGGTGAACCGAAAAGTTCGGCACCCAAGTCAGGGTCTTCTCATCCGACGTTTTTTTTAGAGGGAAGACACGGGAAGATGATGGAAGACAACTTGTTTAAGACTGCCAGATGCAGCCCCCCGTCACAACTCCCGGCTCAAGTGCCAAAAGTCTAAGAGATATGGAAACTAGGATAAGATGTGAATAGAAAATAATGAAAATATATATATGACCTAGCATTGTTATTCATGATTTTTACTATTGCTAGGCCGCATAATAAAAGCTATATCCACCAGCATGTTTATGTTCGCCCATTGACGGCGATGGCTGGGTTCATCCATGAAATTTCTACAGGCAATAACATAAAGAATGATAAATTTCATGGATGATTGGTCCGGTTAACCGCTATAACATTAAATTAAGAAGCTATATTATTTAATTAGTCTTTAATTGGTGATTCTATTTTCATTCTTTTTACTTTCATCTCGGCAGTCAATGGTCTATAGCACCAAAGAATGAAAATAGAATAGCATTTGACGGAGTATTTGACGGTTAACACCAATAAAAGATATGGTGGTTTTATTTCAGGAAGCGTTGGCGTTTTCTACACTTGAGGGAGGTGGTAGGATGTGGAAGCCATGCGACTGCCGGGCATCGACCCCGCCACTTGTTTAGGTCGATGCCCACACCAAGTCCAACACTCTTGCACCATCATCAACCAGGAAATGACGCATGGGTAAACTTCTGGCACATGTTATTTTTGTTAACGTTGTTTTTATCGTGCTGCCACTTGATATTTGTCAAAGTACTTGCTTTCCAGTGAAGCCATGTGAAGCCACTGGGCAACCAAACGGCTAAATTTCCAAGAACCCATCGAATTGATCATGCTTTTGCATGCTTTTATCATGAATTTGGGATCTTCAAAGAATGAACCACGCCCCTCAAATGGTCCTGTTCATCTCCAACCGTTTCGTGGCTCTCGTGGACCGTTTCCGAGCTGAAGACCGGGCCGAGCCTCCCAGGTCTTCAGCTGACCGCGGGTGGTCCGGCCGCCACTCTGGGGCCGGGACGCTTTGATCCCCGTGCGGCGGGTCCACAGACACGACCGGTGGACTGGCGACCTACGACCCCGACTTCAACCACCCAGTCCCAGACAGGTCGTGTGCCCCCGGAGATGGTTATACCAAGGCCCCCGGAGCCAGTGGTGAATGGATACCTCTTATATCAAAGGGCTGGCTGCACTTCCTACTACCTTCTCAAAGGTATGCTCCCATCTTAAGGGTATATGAGTTTTTATAGTGACTATAGTGGATCAAGGGGTTTACTCTGTTTGGAGCTATATTTATAAGACACCGCCTTGGTATGTGATTCTTGTCGAAGGAA